ATCTACCTGCTAATCCGCTTCAAACACGCCCGATTCGTTGTTGTGGTGTTTTCTGTCTAGACCAGAAGGAGCAGGGAGCTAGACAACGTGGCTTCCTTGCAAAGAAGCGCAGGCGACAACTGCTGTGGCTTGAGGACATCCCAATAAGCTCTGACTCAATTGGGCAACTTAAGCAACAAAAGCCCTCAACGCGTTCGTGGAATGACCACTTCACTTATCGCTGCATGCGCTAGCCTTCGATATCCACATGGGGCTTCGATGGGATTGCAGGACCAACAGAACAGGCAGCAGATGGCTGCATATAGACGCTGCGGGTTGGGGCCGTCAAGTGAGGTGGTCTCTCCCGTTGCGCCGCCACACCTACGTATCCCGACGGCTAGGAAGACCCTGTACTGCCATTTACCTCATGCTTTCCTGCATGCTGATAGATCAGCAAGAGATAGCTCAGAGCTGAGGACAGGCGATACGATGAACGAGCAAGCTCTGACGAAAAAAGCATGATTATCACGATCGGGTCGACAGGTGCGCCAGGAGAGGAGAAAGCAGTACTTGGACAATCACCGAACACTTCATTTTGGCATACCTCTTAAATTCCTATAAATGGAAGACGGAATGTGGAAAGATTTAACTCAGCAAGGCTATTCATGCTGCATTACGCCGCTTGTTCTTCGCAAGCTCCGCACCGATGGAGAGAGCGGAAGCCTATTTTGATGTATTTTTCTTGCACAATAGAGCGAGAGGCAGCAAGCGAGGCGCTGGGGCCGGAAAGCACAGAGTCTTGGCCTTTCCAACAGCCTTCTGTCTCGATGCTGCTGCAGGCGGATAACCAAGAGGGCTAGGGAACGCCCCGATTGGCAGAGACGCGTTCCACTGCGAAAGACAAAGCACTTGCAAGGCATATACTAGAACTGCAGTCGTAGAGGAACAGTGCGAATCCCATCCTTCTTCGCCCCCTTATCTACCCTGAACGTTTTCTCTTCCCCTGTACACTGTCGAGTACGTGCGGTTGGGTTGTGCGCTATGACATGCCATCCCCGGGGTCCCTCATTCTGCATTCGCTGGTATTCAAGGCGGGGCCTAGACTCACCATCGATCTGCATGCCAACATCACCCAACGTTTCGCCGTCAACTTCCGTGACGAAGTTAACTCTGCGAGTAACGAATCCTGCATCTTCACAGAGAAGAAATAGTTCAAAACAGGAGGGAAGATTGAAACCACGGGGCTACCCCGCCTCAGAGCCACGCCTGAAGTTGCTTCAGTTCTGGACGGATGAACTGAACAGTTGAATCGAATTAGCGGTGGGCAATATTTTGTGGAAAGACCGAAGAAGGGAGGCACTTCTTCTTACCCGGTTGCCGGCCGAATTCCTCAACCAACTCTAAAAGTTGGTCCTCGAGATCCCCCCCAATATTGTTCAAGTTCTGCAGCATACATTCACCTGCAACATACGGCTTCTAAATATGTAGAATGCGGACTTCAGGGATGTGTACGGCATTATCTGTGAGCTATGCAGTGTGAAGGTCTCGTTCGTCGGATCCCGCTGACTGACCTGCTTTTTTGGCCACCCTCGGCTCGGTTTCTGCGAATTCAAAAAGCAGAAAGAGCGCAAGAAACAGCAGATGAAGTGTGCTAATTCGAATTTTGCTAGGTTCTGTCAAACACGGCAGAATGCGTGTGTGGTGTTCTCACCCTCTCCCAGACTTTAACTGTAAAGGAGAAATCGCCAAAGAGAACCGTGAACATCCCTGTAGATTTCACGTCGCAAACAAAAAGAAATGCAGGTACAATTAGCTCTCTTCAACACCCCAACATGATTCTTTAGATTAGCGGGCCCTGTTTTTCTCGCTCTGTTATTCCCATGGTTGCTCCGTCGTCTTTCAGTGTTTTCACTGGCAGACAGAGGGAACAGAGGGATGGCGTTGATGCCATTGTGCTCCCAAACTGAGTCTACCACACATAACTTGTTTCTCGAAGAAGCCAACAGAAACAAGAGGAAGCCTTTCTTATACATAACTAGCTGCTGCAGGTATCGTCACTAGAAGCACTAGGCCCGTTCGTGTGCGCTTTGCATATCTCACCCCGACGATGGCCATGATGTGGATGTTTTAAGTCTTTTAAAAATACCATGATGTTATTCAGATCATCTCTTGCCTGAAGACCCATACAAGTGCGCAAACTTCGGTTGCCAGTTGTTGCTTCACCCAGGGGCGCCTGAAGATGCAGCCTGAGGAGGCGAAGTCTTCATTGCAACACGGGCAAGCAATGGCAGTTACTTGAGCCCCTACCAGCCCTACACACGCTTCAGAAAAACCAGGTGTGTTTCTATACACAGCTGCTACAGCAGATTCTGCACTTCAATCCATAATCCCTGATTTCTTAGACTTTCTTGCAAGTATTTGGGTCTGAAACATCAGATAAGAAGTACCCGTGGATCCTTGATGCGTGGGAATTCGTACACCGGTCGCCTGAACATTGCACCAAGCCTGTGGAAAGCAGCGGCAAGCACATCGCCTACAACAAAAATGATGCTTTTACTGCCCCTTCAGCGGTTGCTTCGACAGAGAGGTCTGCAGCAGACCTTGCTGCTGATATGTGATACATCCCTCACCCAAATCTTCTTGTATCCTGAGATGGTCCCGGCTGATCATCTCGGTGTTCTNTATGTGATACATCCCTCACCCAAATCTTCTTGTATCCTGAGATGGTCCCGGCTGATCATCTCGGTGTTCTCTGCGTCTCCTCCTGCCCCCAGCATCTGGGGGCTCGTAAGGAGGTGGAGGTTCGTCCGGGAAACCTATTGGAAACCTCCAAGGTTCCGGTGGCTCGTAAGGGGGTGGCGGTTCAAGCGGGTCATCCAATCTGCGCCCACTGTCGTCGGCAGCATCCCCACCGCCTTCCGCTCCAGCAGGTGATGAAGGCCCATGTGCAGGTTGATGACTAGGCCCGGCTTCCTCCCCTGCATTTCTGTGCCCATGAGGCGATGGGTCCCTATCGCGGGGCCCCCTTCGGGGCCCCCTTCGTTCCCTTCTCCTTTCTTCAGGCCCACCAGGACCGCCTGCTCCGTAGAGAGGTGGATATCTGTAAGGGGGAAGGGGCGGACGCTGGCCCTCAGCCACGGCTGCTCCATCTACTCTTCTTCCATCAGATGTTGAGGTCCCGTCCTGATCTTGTGATTGCTGTCCCGAGTTCTTTGCACCTTCACCCCCGTCGTCGGCGCCCCCGCAGTTATTGGGCTGCTGCGCACAGGGCAAACAATATCGCAGGTTATTGTCTATCACTTCAGGAACGAAGTATAACACTGGGAAGAGGAAACAAGGTGAAGATATTTGAGTCACTGCTGCAGCACCCAGCCAAGGCTTGCNNNNTACAATAAGACGCGAACACAACGGAGAACACGAGCGCCTGCGGCCAGCCTTGACGACAGGAAACCAGAAGTCAAAGCGTGCTGGAAACGGCCCCACTGCTTCATCATCATAAAACTCAGGGCTAGCTACCAAGTTCGGCATGGTGTAGACCTCTAGAACAGAGTTGGTGCCGAGCCCTGGAAGGGCTCGGCCAACGTACTACGCGAAACAAAAGGACGAATGAAAGGTGATCTCGGCAGAGAAATGCGGGACTGAAATTGAATAAAACAGTAGAGATTCGTCTCAGATCTGCCTTCGTACGAATGTGGGGTTTGCAACGGCAGATCGCTGTGTTGGTTCCCACTGTCACCGATGTCTGGAGGTCTGAACTTTAGGGGAAAGCGATGAAACTGTCGACGAAATAAGCAAAAACTCAATTTAATACACTCAATTTGCAGTAGAAGAAAGCGCTAAAAACCCTCAATTCAGCAGATGAATGTTGCCAGGGTAACCCCTGCAGCCCTCCGCCTCTCTTCGGCAGCCAATGCAAAGGGTTCATTGTCAGAACAAGGAAACCTTCGCATCGGCGCGATCTGCAGCAGTTATTTTTCCTGTAGACCCGTAGATTCCTACATAATAAAGTTTTCTTAGTCAAAAACTATGGTTTCGTCGGGCCACAGAAAGCTGGGGTGTGCAGCAACCGAACCCTTTCGTACTTTCCTTCCACCTGCCTTTCGCTCCCTCCCTTTCGCTCAAGAGTCCACCGTAGCAATGACGTGCAGTAACAGGGTAGCTTGGTGTCCGTTGATTTCACAACATACGTTTGTTCCAGCATTGCTGAATACATATATATATACCCAAGTGTTTGCCCGGGACCCCAAGCAAATTAGATGGAAACGCCAGTAACAACAGTGGCTGCCTCGATGCTGTATTGTAGCATTATCTGTGTGAAGTTTGTTCGACTATTCCTACTTGCATGCAGGCTGGCCCCGACGGCCAACTAAATGCCAAATAGTCCCCTATAGTGTTAACGTATGCAGCAATGGCTTGGTTGTGCATGCATGTGAGTTTGTAGTGCAGCGCGAGCTGCAGCAGGGCTTGTGCCAGGCCACCTTCTCTCCCCCGGTTCCAGGCTGTTGGGCCGCTGGTTTTCAGGCTGACTATTCACTTGAAAGGATGCCAGCTGCTTCCTAGAATGTCTTAGTAACGCTCATAGCGTGGGTCTTATCCGAGGACAGTTTTGAGGCGCAGTAGAGCCCATCTGGGATAAGACGGAGGGCTCAAGTTATAAGTCTAGCATTTCTGATGTTGGTACATGTGTTTCGAAAAGGCAGCCTGCATTTGACTAGAAGCTGCTTTCTAATAGCCAACAAAGTGTTCAGCGAGTGTTTGCAGTGTTAGTACATGCAGCATGGGAAGGTTGGCTGTGCATTCATGCGGGATTACCCTGCAACACTAGTTGCACCGAGGTGCATTGCAACTCTTGTCGGGCTGCCTCCTCTTCCCAGACCCTAAGCCCTTCGGCTGTCGCGCTCACGCTGCATGGCTTCTGTAGATAACTTCAGCTGCATATTGGAAACTCTTCCCTTCGGTATTTTCGCTGCTGCAGCTCTCCACGTTCCTACAATAAGATTGAGGACTCGCTACAGCTGCGCCTGCAGAGACAGCAGCACCAGCAGCTCCTCCAGTTGCATGTACTGCTCCTGTTGCTTTTTCTCCTGCTGCTGCTGGTCCCAATGCTGCGGTTACTCTCGTTGCTGGTGCAGCTCCTGTTTTTGGCAATGCCACTACTACGGTTGCTTCCTCCGGAAATTCCGAGAGAGTGGGGCCTGTGAGAAACTTCCCTACAGTAGGCCAGTTAAGGGATTTTGGGGGCCTTAGGGATCATAGGGCCCTCGGAGCTTGATCCAAGTCTTCTCTATAGATGCACCAAGCAATGCTCACAGCTCTGCGTCTTTTACCCGCAACGAGAACACAAACGCAGAGACTTCCGAACTATCAGACCTAGTAGGGATCCGAGTTCCCACACGCGATGGAGTGTTCTGAGTCCTTAAGAATGGTACTGTGTGCCCTAGAAGCTGCTGAAGTGTGGACTGAGCCCTCAGTCTCTCACATGCTACCAGTAGATTTGTTCAAGTTAATAAAGAATATTACAGTTTAGTGTAACATTTGCAATAAACATGCCATATTAATAGGCTGGTCATCTGAAGGACTACTGTGGGGCGCTTCGGGAGATTGCGCGAGCGACCATATTGATGATACCCTTGATTTACTTGTCCGTGAAGTTGTACTGCGTGAACCGGCAATTCACTCTACATTTTACGCCCATGGGTTTGCCGATTCCTTGTCACGTCTTCCATCCGCGAATTTTAGCTGCAGAACCATCCGCCTCTCCGTTAACCAAGGTTGCACCACTTCGCCGTGTGTCAGATATCAGGTTCCAATAGCAGCCCCTATCAATTAGCACTTGCAGCTCCTGAGTGTTAATACGAACTTGGATATGCACAGAATTGTGCCGAGATGAATCTGCAGGCGCGGCTTTCAGCCCCACCACTGCGCCGCAAGTTGAGCGGTGGCCTTGACGTTCCCGTGATCTTTTTGCTTTTCCCCGCGGCAGCGCCTCGCAAGCTGTACCTTCTTCAGCTGCCATAACTCTCTTCATGTGCCTGCAATCTGGAATTATATGGCATCTTATATTGCAGAGAAACAGATACACAACTCGGTACATACCCTCATCTTGTTTGCAATTCACGGATTGCAGTTCGTTACAGCTTCATATGCTTTCTATTCGGGTCTGCTATTCATAGCCCGAATACCCGTAGGCTCTATATCCTGGTCACTTCCAAACCAGCTTTTTTCCTTCTCAGACAGGGCAGTGCAAGTGATGTTTTCCTGTCTCTTCGATGCGTACAGATTCCATCATCTCCAGTAGTTCAACACGTTTACCCTTTAGTTCCCCCTCCATGACTCAGCCGGTTACTGATTGCTTCTATCCTTAGGATAGCCGCTCTACGAACTATTGATATAGAAGCTTTGATTCCAGCGGTGGACTGCTGTTCACCATGGAGTGATATTTCTCCATGTAGCGCTGTACCGATAGTTTCTCTTCACGTATTCTCAGATCTGCCATAGCATGTTTCCTAGCCCTCCCGGGAGTACTACACTGTGCTGCATCTCGGAAGCCTTCAACAGTCCGTATGTGCTTAGCGGAGCTGGTAGCACTACTTCACTATAACCAAATCCTGCTTCCCCTTCTAAAAGGGAAGATTGCAATAGCAACTGAACCTTTTCGGGTGCATTTTGAAGAAAAAGGTAAAGGTCCAGGAAACACAAAAAGTCCCTCACTGCCTCTGCATCACGGCCGTATCCTTTCTGGGCGGCTAGCGAAGGCGGAGAAATTCTTCACCGGGGGCAATTTCCGCTGGATTGGATGCAGGCAGTGCGCTCGTTCCAGTGCAACGAAGTGAGCAGAATGCCGGTCGTCTCCCTGGCGGTGGACAGAGCCTGACAAATCTTTACGATGTGAGAGGAGAGTTCACCACATTCTGCACAGAGTTCAGGGACTATATCTAAAGATGTTTTCCGTTCCTCTATATTTTTGTTTCAGAATGCCTGAGCTTATAATCAGTGTTGTACACCGGGCGACGGCCGAGTTGTGGGGATCGGGTCTGTTTGTTGCACCTTCTCCGATGAACCTTCCGGTGCTACAAAATTTCAACGAGAATCCTCGATCGTACATAAGGACCATCAGGGGCGGCAGTAGAGAACTTCAGTAGCTGACATCTGCTTGATTCTCCAGGTTTCTTGAAAACAACGGGAAAAGGGTGAGGGTCAGGGAGAGAGGATCGGACCTTTCATAAGCTGCAGCGCACCTCGCTGCAGCTGTTTCCGTACGGAAACTCCGAGCGCACTCATAGCCAAATCACCTTCGGTGTATTCACTACCACTGTAGAAACTGTTCTGGTCAGTAGTAAACGGCGTGCATGCATCTGCAGCGCGAAGCCTTGCAACTTCAGACCGAGCTCGTTACACAACCCACAGCAAAAGGCCGTTTCAGATGAATCAGCTGGAGAGTTGCTAACCTTAGGAGTAAAACAAAAGTTAATCAAAGAGCCAGGCAACGCCTGGTATCCATCTCTGCTGAAACAGTGTAAACTGCACACAAGTGGCTTCGGTCCGCTTGAGTGGGCAATTGGATATTGTATTTCAGGCAGAGAGGAGCTGCTAGCACTCTGCGGTGGTTGCGGCGAAGATGCATATACACTTTAATATATGCAGATACACCTCAACATACAGATACACCCCAATATACAGAACTTTACTACAATATACGTATATAAGCCCCAGATACACAGATTCACCCCAATATACAGATACACCCCAATATACACAGATAAACAAAAGTATACACAGATATATAACATAACTTTATACACATCAGTATACAATTTACGCATATACAGCCCACTATACAGAAAACCCCAATATACAGATACACCCCAATATACAAAAAATACACAACAGTACACATAGATACACAAAAACATACACAGAAAAACACAAGTCAAGAGCTTAAAAAGAAGAGGTTTCGAGCTGTCTTCATTCTATTCACCCTTCAACTATTTTCAGTGTCTGTTGAGGATTCCTCGCTAACTGAATTTCTCTGTAATCTCTCCGTCAGCCGTGAAAAATAAAAATGTTTTAATGTTTCTCGGTTTCATCATCAACTGAAGAAAACCAATTCCTCTATTTCTTGCTGCTGTATGGAGGCCCAAACAAGAGGCGATCTGCAACAGCAGCAGCAGCAGCAGCAGC